GTCTGAGGCTGGATTTGAACTCGGGTCTTTCTGACTCAAAGTCTAGATCTATTCACTCAGTGTCCCCCTTCGGGTTGTTGTAGGGTTTCAGTAAGATAGCCTAGGCCATAGGTTCCCAAAGTGGGTGATGCCACCCTCTGGGGCACGTTGGAATGATCCAGGGTGGAGGGTAGTAGCCTCAGGTGCAACTAGGGGGCTTTGAATAAAAATAAGGGGGTGCTGGAAGCACAAGGAAAGAAGAGAAGAAAATTTTGAAAAACCGTTCATACGTGTTTTGTCTGTTGTGTAACAGAGTTAAAGGCATAGTGATTACCTTATTTTCCAAGCACACACACAAAATGCAAGTCATAACCAATCAGTGGTCAAGTCCGCCGACAGGTCTTACCAGGCAAGTGTTGGCTGGCAGGCTTGTGCATTGTCAGGAAGTCCAGCATGCATGGGCAGGAATATGTGCATGGCATGACTCGTTTACAATATGATGCTGTGCGGTTATATGATGCAATATCGCATCATCAAAATTTCGATGCAGGAAAAACCCCACAAATTTACATGAAATTTTTAAATTTGAGATGCGTCATTTAAAAAAAATTTCATATTCTTTTGAAATGATGCGAATTTTAAAAAAACTGTTAAAGAGTGAGAGAAAATAGATTTCCAGGGGGAGGGTAGGCCAAATAAGTTTGGGAACCCCTGGCCTAGACGGAGCACTTTGTAAACATAATGTGCTACAGAAATGTTAATGGTGGGGGTGTTCTTTAGGCTGGAGCGCCTGGCTCCCCAGGCTCTGATTGGTAAGCTTTCACTTTCTTCTGCCTTGTCCCAGGCCCATCATGCTCCCCTTTCCCCTAATTCTAGCTCCCCTTCTGTGTGTTGTCTTTCTCCATTTGAATGTAAGCTCCTTGAGGGCAGGGTCTGTCTCAGTTTCTTATTTTTGCATCCCCTGCACTTAGAACAGTGCCTCGCTCATGGTAAACACTTAAATGATTTTTTTCTTTCGTTCATAGTAATCATAACAATCAATACCACAAGGAGGCAATATAGGAGGACATTACTTGTGGTTAAATGAATGAATGCATGAACGAATGAATAATTGAAGGTAAGCGTGCTGCAGACAGGGACAGGATATAATCTCTGCACTCAGGGTCCTCAGAAAGCCAAACAAAAGGCAGCGTGGGTAGAAAAGGGTGTCCGTTCAGTCCTGCTGCCTGGTCGGCTGCTCCGAGGCTCTGTAGATCTATTAGGTGATTCACGAGTCAGGGCAGAGGGGCAGCTCTGGTTTCTCAGCCAAGTCCATGGGTGCTACTGCCCTGGCATGGAGAGAGGCCTTGGAGAGTGGTGATATTGGACTGGCTGGAGTGCCTGAGGCCACTTTTGCTACCATAGGTGTGCCCCGGGGCCATGTTCACTAGGCCTTGCAACCCTGTCCCTGGCAGTGGGGTTGGAGGGCCTCCCCGTATTCCCACTCTGGGCAGCCAGAGGCCTGTCCTCTGCCAGAGAGTGGGCTGTGAAAGCAAAGGACCGTTTTCTTCCTCCCCCCAGCAGATGAGGCTGGAAGCACTCAGACCCCGATTTCAGACTCAGCTGGGCTCAGCCAGCTTGGACACTGGGAGACCCAGGTGGTTTCTTACCCTCTCTTTTCTCTAGAGCTGGCAACTCTTTCTGCTCCAGACTTGGAAGCCAAACCCTGTGTCCTCATCTCATAAACCCCGGGCCAGATTCTCACCCTATGTAACTCTCTAGGAATTCCCAGAAAATTCCCATCATTAACCTCAGAAGGTCTGGACTTGGATTTGCATTCCAAGGGCCCTGGTAGAGATTATGCAAAAGGGGCTGGGTCCAGCAACATGGTCTTTGTCTTGGGACTGTGGACACAGGGCCTTGGGAGAGAGGAGACCCTCTTGGGACCCTCTCAAGAGACTTCACCTTTTCAATGAAATTCAAATAAGACACCTTTCTGGAAAAATATGTCACTGTCCTGGTTTTGCTTTAAATGGCATTTTTAGGATTTCTACGGACTTGTTTCTGGCACAAACTGACTTGTGGTAGAGTTGTATTTGCAACAGAAGATCTGAGATTTGGAACTAGAAGGGACCTTAGAGGTCATTTAGTCCAACTCTTTCATTTGACAAATGGAGAAACCGAGTCCCAGCAAAGGGAAGGAACTATGAGGTCACGCTAATGGAAAGTGGAAGATCTAGGATTCGAACCCAGATCCTCATGACTACAACTACAGCCACCTTGTCACCAGCCTTTGGTGCCTCATGTGACTCTGTCAGTGCCTCACTCACAGGATTATGGAGGACGGGATTGGTTTGCTGTCTTTGCTCCATTCCCAAGCTGTAGAAAGCAAGCACTGCTTGAGACCCTAGACATGCCTAGTCTGACCTAAACCCAAGGGAGCAAGGCTCTCTTCTACAGCATCCTCATACAAATAAAAAAAAAATAAAGTCATCTGGCTTTAGCTCAAAGACCTCCAGGGAAGGGGACCCCGTTGGTTCTCAAGGCTGTCCATTCTACTTTGGGGTGGCACTCATTGTTAGGATGCTCTTCCTCATATGGAGCTGAAGTCTGCTTCCCTACACCTCCCACCCATCGTTCCGTATTGACCCTCTGTGGCCAAGCAGGACAAGGCTAATCTTTCTCCCCAGGTGACAACCTTCAAGTGCTTGAAGACAGGGCCCGTGCCTTCCCTGGGTTTTCTCTTTTCTACAATAAAAAACCCCTAGTTCCTTCTAGTCCATAGGATTCAGTTGATTCTTTGCCTTTCAATAGGTGAAAGTTCCAGAGGCTGATTGAGGCTGGATTTAAGCACAAACTTCTTAATAATTCAAGCTGTCCCAAAGGGCCACCTTTGGAGGGGCAGGGTTTTCCCTCTGTGAAGTGATTAAAGCAGAGGTGCAATGATCCCTCACTGGGTGCACTGGAGAGGAGATTCTTGCTCAAGAGATGCTAGTACTAGATAGGGCCACTGGGGTCCCTTTCCAGTGGGAAGTTCTATGACTCCAGACTATATGTCACGATCTTGAGGACCCTTTATCATTCTGTCTAGGATTATGGGTTCAAAGAATGTGGACAGAATGAAGGAATACAAGACATAAAGCAAGGCTGACCTTGAACTTGAGGGGTTAAAACCTGGCCAAGTTCAAAGCAACTTGGTCCTGAAGCTCTGAGGCTGAAATCCACTGGCTTAGAACCTGTTTTGAGCAAGAGGTGATCATGACTTCTCTTGGTCCAAAAACAAGAGGGAGACTTTCCATTCTGTATTGAAATAGGTCGGGTTCTGTCTTACATTCCTGCAGAGATATGAGGAAAAAACAGAGGCAAATGGGGGAAGTAGAAGGTGAGTGTGCAAACATACCCACGTGCACACTTATTATTTCTGTAAGGGATATAGAACCATATTTACAACTGTCTCATCACATGCAATGGATGCATTCCTGAGAAGTTTGGGGGTCTTTGCCTTAGGTAAATTGAGTCACACTTGAAATAGGTTCGCTCCAGGATGCTTTCCATTTCTACGGTGCTTTCTATGGTCTTTTAATTTGTACTGGTTTCTTTTCATCACCTTCATCACCTCTAGCTTAATTTGTGCTGATATCTTTTGTTTTTCAACACCTCAATCTCCAGATATATCCTCCCTCTTCTCTGCCCAGTGAAGCATCCCTTGGAGGAAAAAAAAAAGAATTAAAAAAGGAAAAGGAAAAAAAGAAAGCTCAGCAAAGTCTGACAGCACATGCAGCATTCCACACACATAGCTCTCCACCCGTGCCAAGAAAGGAAGGAGGCTCATTTTCTCCTTTCTTCTTCAATTATTATTTTTAGTTCTGAATTCTTTCCCTTCCTCCCACCCCATTGGAAAAACAAGGAAAACAAAATCCATTTTTATCTTTTAAAAAATCAATTTTGTTTTCTTTTTCATCTCTTCTTCAAGGAAGAGTTTGGTCAGTACATTACACAGTGTTCGTTTTCATTCTTTTCTTGTTCTGTGTTACACCATTATAGTCATTATGGGTATTATTTTCCTGAATCTACTTTCTTTACTTTGCATCAGTTCATGTAAATTTTCTCATGCTTTTCTGTGTTCTTCAGATTTTTAAGAGTGTGATAATATTTACAAAGCATCCTCCTAATACTGATATTGCACAGAGGGGCACAAGCATCATTATTCTTATTTTATAAATGAGGATTCTGAGGTTCAGAGCAGACCTCTGACTTGGCCTCAGGCACATAGATAACAAGTGTTGAGGTCAGATTTCACTCGGAGTCTCCTAATGGCAAGTTCTATGCTTCAATACCTTCCTAGTTAAAGAGATAGTTAAAGGATCTCCACTTAATGGAAAAAAAAATAATGATCTTTCCTCCCTCCTTCTCCCCTCCTGCTAGTGTCCCATTTATTGACTTTAAATATCCAGATTTTCATGTACCTAAATGAGTTTGAGGTCAGAAGATTTGTGTTCAAATTCAGGCTCTACTATTTGTTTTTCTTGCTTTTCCAATGGGGTGGGAAAGGGAAAGAATTCAGAACTGAAAATAAAATTGAATTAAGAAGAAAGGAGAAAATGATCCTGTAGATGACTTTTGGGAAAGGGCATGGTCCACTGGAAAGAATATAGTGGAGTCTGGTTTCAAATCCCACATGTCATACTTATCATCTGTGTAACCATGGGTGAATCACTTCACCTTCTGGGCCTCAGTTTCCTCATTTGTAAAATGAAGGAGTTAGACTGAATGGCTTCTGAAGTCCCTTCTAGCTCCCTCCTCTAAATCTACAATCCTGCTGGATTTTTCAAAAGCAAGATTTGGCTGTAGGCGTGGACATGTTCACGCAGTCCTGGAGGAGGCCAGGAGGGAGGGGTCGGGGAAGGTAGCCAGAAATGGGTTTGCAGCTGTGGTGGGCTGAGGGGTGGGGACTCTTGTGGGAGACCCAGGGACCTGGGCTCATACTAGGTAGGCCAGTGTCCGGAGCCCCCAGTCACTGCTGACTCCCTTGCCTTCTGCAGATGTGAACGAGTGTGAAACCCAGAACGGGGGGTTGTGAGTCTCAGTGTTGTAATACCATTGGCAGCTTCTACTGCAAATGCCCAGACGGCCAGAAGCTACGGGATGATGGGAAGGCCTGTGAAGGTAGGACCGGGGTGGGGGGCAGGGGGCGGGCTCTCTCTAAGGGGTTGGTGTGGACTGAGCTCGGGTGGCTCCTGTCCGCACCTGGAGGGCAGAGGTCTGAGCTGCTCAGCGATGAACTCCTCACCTCCTCCTGTTGTCTGCTCATCATTAGGAATTGGAGGTTATTTCCTGAGGGATCCCCCACTGTAGTCGGATCTTACAGAGCTAACTCTCATCGAGAGCAGAAGTGACTTGTACGAGAGTCAAGACTTGAACCCAGATCTTCCCGGCTCTCTACCCACTATCCCATGCTGCTGTCTTTCCTCTATGATATGTTGCCTCCCCCTTATACATAGTAGGTTCTTGTAAATGTTTGTTGAATTGAATTCAGTTAATCAAATCAGCATTTATTAAGTACCTACTATATGCCAGGCAGTGAGGGTTGATGACGATATGTATAAAACAAAGCATCCTCTGCCTGTGAGAAGCTTATGTAGTGGCTAGAAATTTGTACACGAATAAGTAAATAGACACAAAATCCAGTATGTAAAATATGTATGTAAAATAAAATAAAATAAAATAAAAGTATGTAAAATAAAAGGTAGTTTCAGAGGGAGGAAGCACCGGTCAGTCAAGCACACTTATTAAGTGCCTACTGTGTGCCAGGCACACCAGCACCTGGGGAGAAAGGTAGGTAGGAAATGAATTGAATTGAGTTGAATTGGGGATTCTATCTGGAATTCTTAACCTAAGGTCTGTGATTGTTTAAAAAATATTTGGTAAGTGTCTGCCAACACAAATGGTTTCCTTTGTGATTTTCTATATTATTTTCTGTATTTAAAAATATGGTCCTGAGAAGGGGACCATAGGGTTCCCCAGCTTGCCCAAGGGGTCCAGGGCACAAAAGCATTTTCCATAGATAGACCTGAGTTGTAAGATCACAAATTCAGACGTGGAAGGAGGCTCCCAAGGCATCTAGGCCAACTTGAACTTGAAAGAGGGGTCTGAGGAGAAGAGGGTGGGCCTGCAGAGCCAGCAAGAATGGCTTATATTGAGGCCTGGGCAGAGAGGGCAGAGGGGTGGATGTTGGGAGAGATGCAGGAGGGGGTGAGAAGGCTGCTGCAGAGCCCTGTGTATGTGCGCGCATGTGTGTCTGAGGGGACCGTGAGGAGGCCACGGGGCATTGGGAGGGATGGGTGAGGAGGAGTATGGGATACGAGACAGAGGGCTGGGTTAGGGAGCTCCGGGAGAAAGGGATGGAGTCAACTGCATGGGAGCAGTGCATTCCTGTATGAGGAGTCACAGCTCTGCAGGCAGGGGCATTGGGTTCCAATTCTACCCCTGCACTGATGCCTTGTCTCTGCACCTCCGTTTTCTGCTTGGACTAGATGACCTGTAAAATCCCTTCTGGCTCTGACTCAGTGGCACTCTGAGCCTTTCACCTGCTACTGCAGTGTCCCCAGGCAAGCCCTTTAACTCTCTGGGCCTCGGTTGTCCAACTCCGAGGCAGTTGAACTAGAGGACCCCCTAGGGTCACTTCCCGCTCAAAAACTGTACCTTTGATCCTGTGGGAAATGAGAGGGGCAGAGTAGCTATGTGTGCTGAGGGTGAGGGGGGGTGTTTGCCGGCATTAGAGAGCAGAGTGTACGTGCACGTGTGTGTGTATGTATCTACATATGCATATATGTCTGTGCATGTAAGCATGCATGCATGTGCTTACATGGTAACACATGGGCTCCCGGTGTGTGCATGTATGCACCATGTGCACATGTATGTATTTATGCATACACACATACATTGCATTGTATGTGTGCTGACGTGAATAATGTATATATATGTGAGGTTATGTGTGTGTGCATACATTGCACACATGGGTATGTGCATGCAACAGTACATGTGTGTGTTACATGTTTACATGTAGACGTGTGTGCATGTTTGTGTGTGGGGTATGCATATGTATATATGTGTGTGCGTGTGTGTATATGCACACACATATGAGCTCTATCCTTTGTGGCCCGAGGAGACAGGCATTTGCCAGCTCAGGGTAGACCATATTTCTCAGGGCCCTCCTCACGTTCTGACCACACGTCAGTCAGATCTAGAACAAGGAATGAGAAAGGGCCACTTTCTGAAAAGGAGAGAACGGATGGAGTGAAGGATGAGGGAATGGCCCCCAGAAAGAGCCAGACTGTGGGATCCAGTCACCAAACACCCGAGAAGGTCCCTGGTGGGCCAGGAGGGGGGGGCCGGCCCAGCAGACACATTCCTCCGCAGCATTTCTGGGATTCTGTCACCTGCTCCCTTGGCCTAGGGCCTGAGTGGACCCCAGACCCTGCTGGTGGAACACTCCCGAGATGGGGAGGGGGGACCTGACAAGGACAAGGGCGTCTGGTTTCCCTCTCCCCTCCTGTCAGATAATTGGTGATTATCTCATTTCTCCCAGACTTCCTTTCCGAAAGTGAACTGGACCAAGGAATGTAATAGCTCCGTCTGTGCCTGCTGACAGCTGGGAGTTGTCTGTCGGGGCGACTGAGAGCTCCCTGCAGAGTCTGGGAGCGTGCCTGAGCCTGTCTCCTCGAAGACACGTCAGAGCCGGGGCTGGGGAAGGTGAAGGAAGCCAGGGGAGGCCTGACCTTGGTTTTTCGTTTGTTTTGCTTTGTTTCCAACTTCTGCCTGCTTTACTTAGATCGCTAACTGTGATTGGAAGACAGGTGGGGGGCCATGGGTGTGCAGCCCTGCATACAACATCAGCCTGATTTGATATGTTGGTCAATGTTGCTGAATTGTTTTGTATTTCTCTTTTTTATCCTTTGTTACAAGGAGCGGCTTCCTGGGAGAGGGAGGGAGAGAGTTGTATCTGGAAGCCAAGGTCATGTAAACTCCAATATATCAGATTTTTATAGAAGGTGATTAGAAGATAGAAGCAGAGTTGGGGGGCGGTGGAGCAGAGACCAATGGCCCTCCTCCCTCCCCCCAGAGCCCCCTCTTTTATTAGGGGATGAGGGGACTGCTCAGCAGGAGGAGGATGCTGGGCCTCCGTTTTCTCCTCTTTAAAACTGAACCCCCAGACCCACATTCCCATGGGAGAGTGCATACAGTATGAGTGCTAGAAACGGTAACCGGATAAAAGAAGATCTGATGGAGGGAAGGGAAGCTTTCTTTTAGTATTTTAAGGTCCGTGGTGTGAGAGAGAGATTAGATTTGTTCTCTTTGGCCCAAGAGGAAAAAAGGGCTTTGCTACCCAGTCTACTGTAGAGTCTAAGCACCCTGAGGGCAGGGCCTAGCTGTTGTTGCTTCTGTCTGGTCCTTAGCTCTGGTACAGAGCCTTGTGTACTAGCTGCTTAACAAACATTTGTTGAATTGAATTAAATTGCCTAATTAGACTCTCTGGCTTCCAAGGTCCTTTCACCCTTCCGAGATTCTATGACTTTGGGAACACTGTTGTTGTTCAATCATTTTCAGTCATGTCTGACTCTCCGTGGCCCCATTTGGAGGTTTCTCAGCAAAGATACCAGAGTGGGGTGTCATTTCCTTCTCCGGATCATTTTACAGATGAGGAAACTGAGGCAAACAGGGTTAAGTGACTTGCCCAGGGTCACCCAGCTAGTAAGTATCTGAGGCTGGATTTGAACTCAGGAAGATGAGTCTTCCTGATTTTAGGTGCTGTATCCACTATGGTGCCACCAGGGAACGCTAGCTTGGTATGTATGTAGAAAATAAGAACATTGATAATTAAGAAGGAAGAATACCCATTACCATTTAGGAGACCGGGGTTCTATTCTCACAGAAGCCACTGGCTCCCTCTGCATCCATAGGCCACGCCACATGGCCCTCCTCCTTGCCTCAGTTTCCCCATCTGGAAAATGAGGGCAATAGTACTTAAGATCTATCCACTCCTCCTCCTCCTCCTCACAAGGACATTGTGAACCTAAGTGAAATTGGGCGGCAGGGAAGGATGGAAACAGGAGCTGTGTCATGGAAGAGCTACTGTTTAAATATTGATCTCACCTTTTCTCTGCCAATTATCCCCAGAGCCATGTGGCACAGAGCTCTGAGCAGGGGCCACGAGGAAGGGCCTGGGATGGCCATGCCAATGGAGGCGGACTCCTCCAGCTCGCTGACTTCAAATCCAGACTCTAATAAGGGAGCCCTAAATCAGCCAACACCTTCGTGTTTAAAAATAAAAGGAGACATAAAAAGATGCGGGGACAGGATCCCGAGTGCCAGAGGAAACACTGGGCTGAGATGGAGCAGAATGGAGGATTTGTGGTTGTGGGGTATTTTATTTATGGGACAGGCTGTAGACAGAGTGCTGGTTTGGCACTCAGGGTGACTTGGGTGTGAATCCTGCCTTTGAGATGTATGAAAATCACTTCATCTATGCAACCCTCAGTTTCTTCATCTGGAAAATGGGGGTAGTAATATCTTCATACTTCACAGAGTTAGGAGACTTAGGTGTCTCTTAAGGACTTTATAAACCTTCTGTTGTTCAGCTGTTTCTAACTCTTCGTGACCCCATTTGGGGTTTCCTTGGCAGAGATACTGCAGTGGCTCTCCATTTCCTTCTCCTGTGCCTTCTTGCCTCATTGAGGCATACAGGGTGAAGTGACTTGCCCAGGGTCACACAGCTAGTAAGTGTCTGAGGTCTCATTTGAACTCAAGTCTTTCTGAGTCCCGGCCACTGTTGCACCACCTAGCTGCCTTTGTAAATCTTAAGTTGCTACATAAACATTGATTACGATAATGATTATTTTATTTGACTTTAATTCTTTTATTTTATGTATTCTGAAATACATCTGCCATTCCTTTAAAGAAGACAACGGTGCTCTGTCATCTCCCCAGAAAGCCACCTGCTGCGGGTGTGCTGCAGAGAGCCTGGGGGTGGCCTTGTGCTCCACCCACCGCCCCCGAGGTCTTTGTGGCCAGCCAGAGGGCGAGCTTGTAGGGTCATGGAACATAAGACCATAGGTCTAGAGGGGACGGTACCTTGGAGACCAAATCTAGCTCCTTCAGTTTATGAG